TGAAATAGCAATCAAATATTTCGGCCCTTTGGATTAGCAAGAAAAAATGTAGCTAATAAAATGTATAGAGATTTGGTAATACCCTCTCATGATGCAGAAAATTATGTCGCTTCCATGGATTAAAATAAATCCAGGGAGGGTAATTTATCATACTTGATGATGAATTCCATGGCAAAGGCATCAATGGTATGGTTGAAGAATATGGATGATGTGCTAACCGAAGATTTTGATGGGGTGATGCAAACCTTCGGCTTAACTGTTTTTGGCTTCCATCCTTCTCTTTCTTCACTTTTGTAACACTTGTTGCAATAGAAGGTTGCACATCACTTTCATTTTGACTGCTCCTCTTCAGAACCCATGCCATGTTCTTTTTTTCAGCTCTTGTGCACTAAGTTTTTGTAATTCCTTCTTTCGCCAATACGATAAACCGAGCGGGCATCTCGGCTGTGATTTTGTTTCAACCAATGACAACTCTTTTTGGGCCTTGTGCACCCTCAACTTCTTTTCTTCAGATTTGGCACTCTGATTTTTATCAATTGATTGTTTCACTTCTTTGCCTTTTGTAGCCAATGTCAACATTTTAATTGGATCTTTGTTATTTGAGATCAAATTTGAAGTAGCACAATTACGAACATCTCTTTTCATGCGGTAAACTTGCTTTACCACCTGTTTATTCTTCCTTGAGCTCTGGACCGATTCCTTGTGATTGAAACGGTCTTTGAAGCATGATTGTTCAAATGTTAATCTTCTTGGAGCTGCATAGTATTGGTGAGATGGTCTAGAATAAGATGGAGAATGTGCCCTTGTATCATATCTGTCCCATGATGAATATGTATCTATATGAGCATAGGGAGGCATCCACGGCATTGACATTGGCGGCTCAAAATAAGGATATGAATATGTTGCATTAAAATTATCACTTTGCCAATACCGATCCTCATATTTGCGCCTTGGGGGTGACCTTGGTTTCTTTGCATGATTTGGCCGATAAGCATTCTTCTCTTCACTCTTCTTTTGATATGTATCCAAAAGTTCAGTGAAGGTGATGTTTGATCTCTTACACTTGCGCTTATTTCGGCCTTTGTTTTCTTTTGGTTTGCTTTCATCGATCATTGGATTTGCTTGCTGCCCCCCAGTCCTTGGCGTCTTCATTGTAGCTTCGATAGAATTCTTGCCCTCAAGATTATGTTCATTATGCTCTTCAACAACTTCTTTACTTGAAAGCTTGATTCCATCACCTGTAGTTTTTACTTTCTCTTCAAATAGATCGGCTTGAAGCAGCCGATGCAAAAACTTTTTGCCATCGGGACCAATCGGAATAGACTGGTCATCTCTTGGTGTCTCAACAAATTCCAATCATCCTTTATCAATGGCCGATTTAACTATTTGACAAAACATGTTGCAATCCTCAAAATTATGCTTGGACGAGTCATGCAACTTACAATACATTCATCCCTGGACAGATGGTTCAACATGGTGATCAAGAATTCTAATATAATTATTTTGCAACAACAAATAAAATATTTGATCACACATGCTTGAATTGAAGGTAATCTTTTCATTCTCTAGCCGATCTTGTTGTGAGAACGGCTTTGGATTTAAGCAAATGAAAGGTTCAGATTTTGTATCACACCATTCGGCTATGCATTGTGTTTTGCACTCTATCTCCGATGTTTTTGGGTAAGATATTATACTAGCATCAGTTTTCTCAACAGAATTTAACCTTGGCTTTAAATTTCTAAAATAAAAATAGTTAGAACATACATGTCTTAATTGAGACCAAGTGCAATCCAAGTACGAAATAAGCAAAGCTACCCAAATAGATATGAACTTTAGATAAAGCAACGGGGAAAGCTTTGGCTGCAATAATAAGTCATTATCGGTCTTTAAAAATGGCACAATTGGTTGATCGATATGTTCTAAAACAATTTTATTGCTAACAAGTAAATTACCCTTCTTCATTGGTCTTTCAAAATTACCTATGAGGATTTTTCTAATAGATGCATCAACAGTAAAGTTGTGACCAAATCTGAAAATAGGTAAATTACTCGCTATGCATACCTCTTCAAATACGTTGGGACAGCATGATGGTGTTGTGACTTGAACAATATCTAGCTTCATCTTTGGATGACTCTCCAACGCCTTTTCATCATCTTTTTCTTTATTCCGTGCATCATTACGCTCAAGATTTTTGTCGGCCGAACTTTGTTCGGCTACTTGTTCTTGTCCTTGAAGATTGTCAATTTCTACGGCACGGAACTCATAGGGCAGGAAGTAGGTTCCATTAACTTCAGAAAAATCAAGCACTGTTGTTTTCCTATGCTTGCCATGCCCTTTCTCAATAATGCTTGCCTCGTTGGATTTGATGGATTCAGAATATATACTACTTGATTTGGCTTTTTCAACCGAAGTACTTGCATGTTCTGAATCATCCTTCTTTTCATTGATACTACCAATTGGCAATGCTTCTTTTATCTGAGCCAATTCTTTTTCTATTTGTTTCTGACGGCGAGCGGCAAAATTAGCTTTAAGCTTTTTCTCAATTTCATCCCACTCCGGATATGATTGCCCCCCAATGCTTTTAGATTCTTTCGGCAATGATACACGGGTGTTGCCGAAATTTTGCAATTATATAGGGGGTGTATAATATGCTGTAGTACTAGGTAAAGGCATATGCATTGTTGTAAGACCATACTTTTGCTCGCCAATTTTATCAATTGGCAAAGATTCATCTTCTTGTACAACTATAGCTTTTATTGCTGCATAATCAGGAAATAGCCCCTTTTCATGTTGTTCAAGGCAAAGAGCACTAATTCTCTTATTTTGGGCTAAACTCTTCAATGCAGCCACCACTACTGCATCTTCTACAATATTGGGCACAACCGCTTCTGTAAAATTTACATTCATTCGGCTATAACCAGGAAGGTGTGAAACCGAATTATGAGCATCTACAGTTGTGTATGGTGCCGAAGAATTACTAACATGAGGTGTAGCATATGATGGTTGAGAGTAACTGGCCAAATAGCCATTAGTAGCATGGCCAATTCTCTCATTCATCGGCATGGTTGGATTACTATATTGCACATTAGCTGCCGATGAATAAAAGGGTGAAACATTTTCTTGTATGTCATTGGAAATTCTAACTTGGGGTGTTTCAAATTGATTAATCGAACTCATCATGTTGCTCATCGGCATATGAATTTGCTGGGTTGCCGATGCATGTGAGTTGGGGTACATATGGTGCATGTTACTAATATCATCAGAAGTTGAAGTATATAAATTATTTTGAATCGGCCCTTGCACGTAGTCAGTTGCATGATTGAAAAAATTGGGGTTGGCCGATAGAGTATACTCATTGAACGATCTAGTAACACCATATGAATTATTTGCATCTACATAAAGGGATTGGATATTCATATTACCTTCGTAGACTGCAAACCCTAGATGACGATCTCTTCGTAGCAAGAACGGGCCGGAGACCGTTCGAAGCTTCGTCCCCAGCGGAGTCGCCAAAAAGTGTGTTCGCACACGAACACGTCACCGTGTACCCTCGACGCCGGGGGTGGTGCACCGTAGCTCACGTCGAAGGAGACCCGCCGGAAGCGCGGTACGCAAGACAATCCGGCTGGCGCTTTTGAAGACCCGAAACCTCACACGCCCGGGAGGGACCCCGTCAGAGCGCACGGCGGCTATGGGCTGCCCTAGGTCAACCTGATCGCCCCTAGGGCCTCGAGGTTCGCCGCCCTGCAACAAGAAGAACAGACGAAGAACGAGGAAGAAGAATAACTAGGGTTAAGCAGAAAAGATAAAAGATAAAAAGTGGTAGATGAATTGATCGATTGTGTGTTGTTCAATCGGCCGTCACCCCTTAGGTATATAAGAGGCGGCAGGACTTCCCGTGCAAGGAAAAGTCTTGGATTCACGTCCAAAACCCTAGTCAAATTCGAATTGATTTTGTCCGAACTTTCTAAAACTGTTCAGTTTAAACTGGCTGCACCTTGCGGGTCTTTTTTGTGGTGGTAAACTATCTCGGATGGAAACGAGCCTAAAAGCAGTCTTGACTGTTTCGACAAGACGAACAACTTTTATGTTGAACGTTTTTTGATCAGAGGTCATACTGAGAGTCAAATCGGTCGCGCAAAACAGGTTATCCCTCGCGCTACCCATCAGACAGGGTGTCTGGTGGGGCGCGCCAGTTTTTGCCTCCTGACAGAGCTGTATTCCGATGGCTCTAACTTTTGCATACGAACTCGTATTGAAACGATTTTTATATCAAAATCGATCGCTTCGACGAGACGAAAACAATCCTTGTAGATAATTCTTTCATTTGAGGTCGTCTTGGGGGCTTAATCAGCCAAACTGTACTCTGAATATAAGATCTTAGTACTTTGAACATAGTTTCGGCCTTCAAGATGAAATCGGACTGCGATGACCCAAACTTCAAAGATGTTCATATCGACAATACGGAACTCTTTCATGAAGATCACTTCTCCATTTGAGGCCATCTTAAATAAGTTATTGACCATGCCAAAATCTGGTGTCAACAACATTGTTGTAATAATTTGTAAGGTCCTCGAGAATAATCAATAAAGCGGCCGTATGCATCTCCCAGATACAGAGGCCGGGGGTCATCCTCCTTTTCTAAAAAAATAAAAAAAATTGCATGCACAGCAAACGAGGTGCGACTGTACGTTGGGCGCATGGCCGGCGCTCAATAAATTCTGACAGACTCGTTTTCATTGCCACCTTCAAACGGACAAAAATGAATAAAAACGGACGTTTTGGGATCGTGTGCTTGGAGTTGACCAAACCGGTGGTGGAGTGGACACCTACTACGGGCTCCGATATTTCCGCTCCCGCGAGACATCTTTGACGAGGCAAATCTGGCGACAGCGTCATTGTCGACGATCGCTCGGGAGAGCCCAGCACCCACCCCACACGTACATATAAAGACATGATCACGGGGCGTCACCGTGGATAGACAAGACCGGCCGGAGAAGATGAGCAAGGTGTGCGTCACCGGAGCTGCAGGGTACATCGCGTCATGGCTCGTCAAGAAGCTCCTCGAGAGAGGCTGCACCGTCCACGGGACCCTGCGGAACCTCGGTACGCGCCCGTGCTCTCTCGCGCTGTTCTCTTCGTGCGCGCCGCTGTCCCCGTCGATCTTCTGTTCTTCTCTGAGCGTTCTTGGTCCGTTGTGGACACGCAGGGGATGAGAAGAAGGCGGGGCTGCTGAGGGGGCTCCCCGGCGCGGCGGAGCGGCTGGTGCTGTTCGAGGCGGACATCTACGACGCCGCGTCCTTCGAGCCGGCCATCCAGGGCTGCGAGTTCGTCTTCCTGGTCGCCACCCCGCTGCAGCACAACTCCGGCAGCTCCAAGGTAACCACTCATTAGTCTTCTCGGCCGGTTGTGTCTCGATCATGAGGATCACAACGGACAAGGGTACTCTTATTTATATAAGAAGGTACCGTCACAGTCTGCTCCGAGCTCAAAGACACGGACACCCTCGTAAACACTAAAATCCAAAAAAAAGTAAACAATTTAAAAGAACCTGATTTTTTTTTTCTAGATGAACATCAACATATCTTCTACCATCCTGTAAAAGTTCACCTACAAAAGACATCTGTGTAGGCATGTACAAAAAAGTAAAAATCGGGACTCAAAAACACACACTTGGATCCCGCAAAAAAACACAAACATTTGGAGCACTAACTTTTCTGTTTCTTTTGGCACAAATCACTATGGATGTCTTTTGGTGGCGAAATTTTACAGAATGTTAGGACGCTTGTTGATGTTAATCCACAAAAGGTTTCAAATTGTTTTGGTTTTTTCTTTTACAGTTTTATCAGAAGTTACTGTTTATATGGGTGCATCGATGCTCGGGATTGGAGTACCATCTTCGCTTTCGCTAACACCTCACCGGTGGATATATGTTCACACAGGAAAGGTTATTTCACGGTCAGTTGACTAGCAAGGGTCTGGTGGTCACTTTCCGACAGCTACTGTTGCACTGTCGGAAGGACGCTCACCACCTGCAACTCTCACTTCTGGTTTTCGATAACTTTCTTTTTAACACACACATTCAGAAATGTCTTCATCTTTCAGTTTTTTCCAACAATTTTAATATTCCCAACATCCAAACTTAAATACACCCGCGTAAAGAAGGTACTCATATATTTACAAAAATAAAGAAGGTACTGACACAGGGACATGAATCATCTGCACCGAGCTCAAATACACCAATATAAACAGTTAAATTCGAAAGAATAGTAAATGCATTTTAAAAAGAATTTGATTTGTTTGGATGAACTCAAGATGTCTTCTAACATCCTATAAAAATACTCAAGTAATCCCCGCGTGCATTTCGAGATTTTACCTTGGTCATCAATATAATCAAATAAATATGAGTTATGTGAGACAAAAGGTTATATAGTTGAATTCTATTCCAAAAAATGTATTCAATGATTTTTTTCGAAGAACCTCTTTGGGAGGGCAGGGGGCACCCGCAATTTCCATTAGAAGGATAAAACATGTCCTGTTTATATGGAAAACCGAAACCAAAAACCTACAGAAATGAGCCAGTTTACAAGGAAAACCGGACACAAAAAGCGAACGTAGCTCGGTTAATTAGAGAAAAACCGGGCAAAACCTTCTCGTACCCATGGCCACAAAAACCTCGCTAAACTAGGCCACGAGAGCTGTAAAATATGAAACAAAATCAACTAAGGAGCACTTCAACTGCCGCCACCTCGCCGTTCGAGAGAAACGCCAACACAGAAGGGAAGCGATCCTGGGCCTCCCCAAAATCAGAGGAAGGCAAGACACCATACTTAGAAGCATCGCCACTCCATGCCTGACCGCAGCCGAAATCGTTGCCCCCCGGGATCCGCCAATGCTGGGACATGCGCCAACCACAGGGTCACAACTTCAAAGACCGTGCCTCCAAGAAGGAAACATCATCGAGAATGCCGCCATAGTCTGACCTGGCGAGCCAAGTCAAGGCTATCACCCGAAGTAACGGACCCCATCGTATGGGAGGTGCCAATGCTTCTCAAAAACGCCACCAAGAATGGAACGTCGTGAAGAGTGCTGCCGTTGCCAGCACCGACAAAGTCAAATAAGACTTTCGTCCAAATCCACGAACAATGCCAAAGCCAAACTGCAACAGGAAAGTCCATCGCACGTCACCCAATATTGACCTGCTAGAGGAAAAGTCATCGACCATGCGAACCTGAATAGTCATCCCCGCCAGAGACCGCCACCGTGCTGCAACACCACCGTAGAACACCGGCAAGCCGACTCCCCCCACCAACTGACACAGCACCGCACCCCGCCAACCACTACCCCACCTCCATTGGTGCCTGAACGCGCGCATATCGTCGACCCCTCTGGTCCGCTGCTGGACCGGAGATATAATTTTGAAGTCACATAACTTATATTTTGAGTCATGATCATAAATATTGTGAAACAAAATGAAATATCCTATCGCCATCTCAATACAGGTAATACACGATGTCTTCATTTTATTTATCTTTCTTGACTCATTTTTGGTGTATCGGCAGTTTGTTGTATTACACTTTAAACTAACCTAGAGTCATGCTTAGGCAAAAATTGATGGCAATGAAGTAATCTCGGTATAATTGATGGACATTGTTAAACCTTGAAATGTGTGTCTTAGACTCACGAGGAAGAGTAATGCAGTGCAGGATTCGTGCAATCATGCAAATCCTTGCATGATGAAAAATAACCATGGCTACGGTCAGTGGTCACCCATCCAAGAGCTTTCTCGTGTTAGAGCTTCTGCAATCGGATTGGCAAATCCGTCTCCCCTAAACATCAGTCGACGTGCCCGTGAGTGACCCCTGTTGGGCAGCCCCTCATATCTTTTTTTCACGAATACGCAAAGGTTTCATATCTTTTCGTTCATAGAAGAAGAGTGTCAACATGAGATTACACACACTCACAAGCCATGTGCGCTAGAGGCATGTTTGTGAGTGATGGAGCAAACAGATCAAAGGGGCTGCTCATCCCCAAAACACAAAAAGGCTAACTCTCGGGAATGATGTTTCTTATCCCTGTAGCACCGGCCTTGGCCCAGAGGCGTGCCTCGTCTTTGATGGTGGTGTTAAGCTAAAAGACCGATGGCTGATCATGGTCGAAGACGCATCCGTTGCGATGCTTCCATATCCACCACACAGTGAGGATGGTGATGGATGCGAGGCCCTTGCGAGCGAAGACTGGCGCTTGGTCGGACGAAGTTGTCCACCATGTTTGGAAGGGGGTGTCGCCATCTGGTAGGCTACTTGATGCTCTCACCTAACTAAGTATTTCCTGCCATATTTTCCTAGAGAAGGAACAAGACGCGAGAAGATGTTGCATCGTCTCTGGCTCTTGGTCGCATAGGGCACACACGTTGTCGTGGGTGAGGTCGTGCCGCGCAAGACGGTCCACCATCCAGCAATGCTCTTGCATCACGAGCCCCTCATATCTCCTACGGACAATGACACTCCTCATATCTAACCCTTTAAATCCATTCAAATCCATACACGTCCATCATACCATTAATATCATAAGATCTTTGTGTAGTTTCATAATTTAAATTCATAGACGTCCATCATACACATTAATATCATAAGATCATGGTGTAGTTTCATAATTTTAACGTATATAGTTCAAACATAATTTTTTTTGAAGTGCACAATTCAAACATTAAATTCTTTGGTCCTTCTTAGTTTCTATTGTGGGTCCACATATGCTCTGTAAGATCATTTAGTAGTGGACCCATATGTGCACTTGTTCATCTCAAAGATTCTGATGAATTTGCAGAAAATTCATAATCTAATCCGCATCTTGTTTCGGGATGTGGACTTGTTCACCAGGCTTCTCAAAATCATGAGTTCGGACTGCCCCTTTACGCTCGTCCTTGACAATCGTACTATGTAAAATGACACAACATGCCATCAACTTCCACAAAGTCCATGATTACCACATCATAGCAGCTCCATGAATAATTTCCCAACGACCTTGGAGCACTCCAAATGCCCTCTTCACATTCTTCCTAGTTGCTTCTTGCATTGTTGCAAAGTGACTTTATTGTTGTCATGGGAATCGGATATGGTCTTCACAAATGCCGCCCACCGAGGATAGATATTATCTGCAAGGTAGTACCTCATGTTGTAGTCATGCCCATTGACATTGTAGTTGCACGGCGGCGCTTCCCACAAAGTGTCCTGAACACGGGAGATTGTTGGAGCACATTGATGTCATTGTGAGAATCAGACATGCTAAAGAAAGCATACCAAATTCACAAGTCCTTTGATGTGATTGCTTCGAGTATGATGCCGGCCTCTTTGATGTGACGTTAGTACATCCCGCGCCAACCCTTGGGACAATTCTTCCATTGCCATGGCATGTAATCAATTGAACCAAGCATACATGAAAGGCATCTTGCTGCTCCAATCACCATCAACTTTTGTGTATCTTGCACACTTGGTTCTCTTGGATATTTTGCTCCAAAGACCTGCACCATGACGTGGGCAAATCTCACAGTGGTCTTTAGGCATGACCTCCCCATCCAAACTATCTCACCAACGACATCAACGGTGGTACGTGGTGCAAGCATCCTCATAGCAGTCGTGTATTTCTGCTTAACAAAGAATGAGAGTTATCCGCTGCAATCCCTGGTGAACCTGAAGTAGGGATCATGTGCCTTCACTTCCTCCACCATGCATAAGAACAAGGGTTTGCGCATATAAAAGTGTCGACGAAAAGTATCAGAGAATGTTGGTTTGGGATCAAATTACTTGTAGAGAAGTCGTGCTCCAGCGACCCTATCTCGGTTCAAAAGTATCCTCCCATTGATACAACCCTTGAAGTTCAGAATGTGATCCACCTCTCTGCCCATTTCCTTCTGGATGCTCATGTTCATTATCATCTCAATGTCCTACTCAGACAAATCGAAGAACTCTTTTGCATTAATTCATCAAGCTTCGTGTTTCCATACTCCTCACCAGAATCCATCGTTTTGCCTACAAAAGAATCACAGAAAACTGCTCAAACAATTTGTCAAACACATAGACGGCAAGGTGCGGTCTGAGAATAGCCAGACATACCGCGGCGTCCGGCGAGGCATCGGTGTACGGAGCGGCGAGACGGCCGTCGGCCGGGGATGAGTTTTGTGGCGGTGATGGTGGTGGAGTTAGGGGAGGGCTGGAGCGGACGAGAGAGAAGAGAGGATGGCTAGTCTGATAAGGCGGGGGAGATTTGGTGAAATTTGTGATCGGTCCTGTCTGTCGAATCCGACGTGCGCGTCCCGGCTTGCCAACCAGCCCGGCATATAGGACCAGTCAGAGGTGCCCGGCCGGGTCACGTTTTTGTGACCGGTCACTGACCGATCCGTGTGCTCAGACGCATAGAAAACGTTTGAGGAAGCCGGCTTTAGATGCTTTTACCAGCAAGTTGCATGCACGATATTCAAATCACAACATACACTAATGTCGCATTTCACTTTAATCGATTGTAGCTAAGTTATGCCATGCCTTTCTTTTATCTGATTTGATTTTCCAGTACAAGGACACCACCGAAGCAATCGAGGACGCGACGCGTGCCATCCTACAACAGTGCGAGCGGTCCAAGTCAGTGAGACGTGTCATCAGTACAGGGTCTGTTATCACGGCGTCGCCACTCAGCGAGGACGGGAAAGGGTACAAAGAGTTTGCGAATGAGTCCTGCTGGACCCCGCTCGGCCTGCCCATTGATCACAGCAACGAATTCATGGACGTGAGTGCGTTCTTGCGATTTTGATGTTTTTTCTGTACACAGTGATATCTTTCTAAGAAGTATATATGTAAACATATATGTAACACGGAGTAGTTTTTTGAAATACGTGAAACTTTTTAACACATTTTTTTGTAAACACAAACATTTTCTAAATGAGTAAATATTTTTTTTCAAAAGTCGATGACCATATATCTAGTCGTGTATGAATATATTTTTCTAAATACATGAACATTTTTTAACACATGAACCTTTTTACTTAAACATGGGATGAAGTTTTTCTCGAATGTATGAGCGTTTTTATATTAAGAAACATGAAAATTTTTAATTTTCCAGAACATATTTTTATTTTAAAACTATTTAAATAATATTATTTAGAACCTATTAAATTTAAAAATTCTGGATTAATTTTGTTTGTGAATATATTGCATCTGCCCTTATAGCCAACCTTGTGCATTATATAGGCTATTCCACGGACTTTGTGTGGAATAAGAGCTGCTAGTCTTTTGCCTGTTCTTAAAAGAAAACTATATTTTTAGCAAATGGCCGGCTTGCCATGCTAGGCCCGTAACATGGCCACAAGCCTGCTCACTTGTTGTACTATCAAGCTTTGTTGTTGTTTTGGAGTTCCATGTTCACTTATGTTATATATGCAGGATTACCTTTCCTCTAAGTGCATCGCTGAGAAGGAGCTAGTCAAGTACAACGAGCGCCCCTCGGAGAGCAGAGCGTTCGACGTCGTCGTCCTGTTACTGGGCCTCGTAGGAGGAGACACCCTCCTGCCGTACATCAACGAGAGCCAACACTTCATGCTGTCGCCTTTCACCGGCATCGAGCCTTACCACAACGCCCTCAGGTACACGCAGGCCCTCCTGGGCGCCGTGCCGGTGGTGCATGTCGACGACGTCTGCGAGGCGCACGTCTTCTGCATGGAGCGCCAGGGTGACGTCGCCGCCGGCCGTTACCTCTGCGCCACCGCGCACCCCAACATGCAGGATCTGGTGGAGCACTACGCGAGCAAGCACCCAGAGCTCAAACTAGCGCGGAAAGAGTATGTTTCTTCGACTAAATGTTCCAAGTCAGGTATCTCATGGTGCGTTGTGAACTGTGATTAATACTATGTCTATTTGTGTGTGGACTGTCAGGGTGGTGGGAGAGGGAGTCAGAGTGCAGGCCAACACGAACAAGCTTGTGGAGCTGGGGTTCAAGTTTAAGTACCGGGCAGAGGAGGTGCTTGATGGCAGCGTGGATTGCGGGAAAAAGTTAGGAGTGCTGCCAGTGGCGGATCAAGGATCCTAAAAAAAGATCTAACGGAGGAGAAGCCACGTGGACAGTATATTCAAGCTGAACCCACCGGGATGAGATACCCAATTTGCTCAAGAGTGGAAGCTGGTTAATATGGATGTGCCATCACTGGGTCAATTTATCTTTTAGATGTTATATGTTCGTGTTCTTGTAATTTTTTTCTTGGAACTCAATGAAGTTATTGTATCTTCCGTTGGCAATTAGTTTGGGTTGGTCTCATGAGTTGTTTCTATTAAGAGTCTGAAAGAACGTATGTTCGAAACATTTTCTTTTACCCCCAAACCGTAGAATAATAGTTCTACGGTATATTTTATAAAAACTCAATATATTACAAAGAAGTGGAAAAGAAGACCTAAAAGGCCAAAGATCAAGTCAGGACCTAGCCAATGCATGTTCTAGGTATAAGAGTCATGGATTTACAAATTATTGTATAACCACTCAGAGAAACTTTGTTCATACTTATCCTTAATATTGAATCTAAGGAGTTCCAGGTCTTGCTTCAGATAGAACCTCCATGCCTGAATTGACTGTTGCGGAGCTCTGAAAATTTTGTCATTTCTCTGAAACCATACATTCCAACATCCCAATATGACAATTTCCGATGCAAATTGTTTTGGAAGGAGTTCCCTTGCAAAGGTGGTGTCCTCATACACAGATGCACCTCTCTTTCTATTTGGTATCAATGAGTTCCAACAATCTTGTGCAAAGTTACAATCCAATAAAAGATGCATAGTGGTCTCTTCTGCCCTCTTATTGCAGTTAGGACAATAAGGATTGTCTAGGTGCATTTCTTTCCTTTTGAGAACTGCTATGTATATTGGAAACGTACATAGACGTGTGTGTGTGTGTGTGTTTTTCTTCGGACATGGAGTATTTGATTCCGAGCTCATATGCTCTCGCATGAACAGTAAAATCGAAATGATAGTAAAAAAATTCAAAAAAAATCTGATTTTTTTGTGATGAACATTGACAAAAGTTCTAACTGCGTGCAAAATTTCAGGCTGAAATGACATTCGTGGAGGTCTGGGCAAAAAGAATAAAATTGATGCTCCAAAAAGACTATTGTTGGAAGCATTTTGGAGGATTTTGTTATTTCTGTCCAGACCTCCACAAATGTCATTTCGATCTGAAATTTTGCACGCAGTTAGAACATTCATCAATGTTCGTCATAAAAAAGTTCAGATTTTTTTTGATTTTTTTACTATTGTTTTTTATCTTACTGTTCATGCAGTTGCATATGAGCTCGGGATCAAAAGAGCACTTTTGTTTTTCTTCTCTTTATTATTCGGATATCTCAATGTGATAGATCTACATATCAATGCATATTTGATAAGCTTATCCATAGTGTCTTGGCCAGGATTTCTAGGTCTAATTATACTTTTAGGCATTATGTGCTCGGATTCTTGTAACTTTCTTGAAATTGAGGTTATTGTAGCTTCTTTACGGTTAATTCTGGGTTGATACCATGAGGTTTCCATGTCAATATTTTGATAGGGGACCGATGAGGGACAAATCATTTGAAAAAAAAATTGGGCAAGTTGGTTTTTTCTTAGTGCGGCAGAAACAAGATCAACTGGCACCAACTTGAGCCAGTTAAATTTTTTAGAGCACTCGATCCTTTGCAACCACAAAACAGAAGTTCGTGAGGTGCTTAGGCTTGGTCTAAAACATAAGAGGAACTATGTGATACATGATAAGACACAAGAAAAAAGGGAAACAGAACACAAATAAAACAACTAATATTTTTTGAATACGGAACAAAATAAAACAACTAATATTTTTTGCCCACAATTTACACAAAAATTACTCTTTTTACAATATGCAAGAATACAAATATAATAGTGAAATTTTCGTAAAAATAAAGTTTTGTAAGTATGAATGAATTAGTGGCATTGGTATCAACCTAAAATAAGTAAGAATATGAAATAAAAATTGAATCAAAATCAGAATAATGATTTTTTTAAAGAATAAATTATTGGCATTGATAGTACCCTTTAAACTGTCCAAGCTCCGGTAATCCATCTATGGACTGGTGCAAGCATCTCGGAGTTAGAATATACGCTTTGAGGAGGTGATCAAAGCATATGGTTTTATACAGACTTACGGTGAAGGCTGTATTTACAAGAAAGTGAGTGGGAGCTCTATAGCATTTCTGATATTATATGTTGATGACATATTGATGATTGGAAATGATATATAATTTTTGGATAGCATAAAAGGATACTTGAATGAAGATTTTTTTAATAAAAGACCTCGGTAAAGCTGCTTACATATTAGGCATCAAGATCTATAGAGATAGATCAAGACGCTTGATAAGATTTTCAATGAGTGCATACCTTGACAAGATTTTGAAGGAGTTCAAAATGGATCAGTAAAAGAAGGAGTTCTAGTCTGTATTGTAAGGTGTGAAGTTGAGTAAAACTCAAAGCCCGACCACAACATAAGATAGAGAGAGAATCAACGTCATTCCCTACGCCTCAGCCATAGGTTCTATAAAGTATGCCATACTGTGTACCAGACTTATTGTAACCCTGCCATGAGTTTGACAAGGGGGTACAATAGTGATCCAGGTGTAGATCACTGGACAACGGTCAAAATTATCCTTAGTTACTAGAGAGGACTAAGGAAATATTTCACAGTTATGGAGGTGATAAAGAGTTCGTCGTAAAGGGTTACGTCGACGCAAGCTTTCAAACCAATTCGGATGACTCTGAGTCTCAATCTGGATACATATTGAAAGTGGGAGCAATTAGCTAGAGTAGCTCCATGCAGAGCATTGTAGACATAGAAATTTGCATAATACATAGGGATCTGAATGTGACAGACCCGTTGACTAAACTTCTCTCACAAGGAAAACATGATCATACCCTAGTACTCTTTGGGTGTTAATCACATGGCGATGTGAACTAGATTATTGACTGTGGTAAACTCTTTTGGGTGTTGGTCACATGGCGATGTGAACTAGATTATTGACTCTAGTGCAAGTGGGAGACTAATGGAAATATGCCCTAGAGGCAATAATAAAATGGTTATTATTATATTTTCTTAATCATGATAAAGATTTATTATTCATGCTAGAATTATGTTGACTGGAAACTAAAATACATGTGTGGATACATGAACAAATACCGTGTCCCCGGTGAGCCTCTACTAGACTAGCTCGTTGATTAAAAGATGGTTAAGGTTTCCTAACCATATACATGAGTTGTCATTGGATAACGGGGTCACATCATTAGGAGAGTGATGGGATGGAAAAGACCCATCCATTAGCTTAGCATATGATCGTTTAGTTTATTGCTATTGCTTTCTTAATGTCAAATACATATTCCATTGACTATGAGATCATGCAACTCCCGGATACCGGAGGAATGCCTTATGTGCTATCAAACATCAAAATGTAATTGGGTGATTATAAAGATGCTCTACAGGTATCTCCGAAGGTTTCTGTTGAGTTGGCATGGATCGAGACTAGGATTTGTCACTCCGTGTATCCGAGAGGTATCTATGGGCCCTCTTGGTAATACACATCATGAGAGGCCTTGCAAGCGAATTGACTGAGCAGTTAGTTACAAGATGATGTATTACGGAACGAGTAAAGAGACTTGCGAGAAACGAGAATGAACTAGGTATGAAGATACTGACGATCAAATCTCGGGCAAGTAACATACTGACAGACAAAGGGAATTACGTATGTTGTCATAAGGTTCAACTGATAAAGATCTTAGTAGAATATGGAACCAATATGGGCAAGGTTCCGCTATTGGTTATTAACCAGAGAGGTGTCTCGGTCATGTCCACATCATTCTCGAACCTGTAGGGTCCACACGCTTAACGTTCTTTTGACGATATAGTGTTATATGAGTTATATGATTTGGTGACCGAATGTTGTTTGGAGTGTCGGATGAGATCCGGACATGATGAGGAGCTCCGGAATGGTCCGTAGGTAAAGAAGGATATATAGGACGATAATATTCGGACACCGGAAGAGTTTCATAGTGTACCGGGTAGTCATTGGATCGCCGGAAGGGGTTCCGGACACCCCCGGGAGGTATATTGGCCTAATGGGCCAAGGGGAGAGACACACCAGGCCACAAGGGGGCTGGCGCGCCCCTTTCCCTGGCCGCTAGCCCTAGGGAAGAAAAGGGGGAGGGCTAGCCCCTCCTGCCTTCCCCTTCTCATGGGAGAAAGGAAAGGGGGGCGCCACAGATAACCCACAAGTGTAGGGGATAATTGTAAGCTCTTTCGATAAGTAAGAGTGTTGAGGGAGTCCTGGACTAGGGGGTGTCCGGATAGCCGAACTATCATCATCGGCCAGACTCCAAGACTATGAAGATACAAGATTGAAGACTTCGTCCCGTGTCCGGATGGGACTTTCCTTGGCGTGGAAGTCAAGCTTGGCGATACGGATATGTAGATCTCCTACCATTGTAACCGACTCTGTGTAACCCTAGCCCTCTCCGGTGTCTATATAAACCGGAGGGTTTTAGTCCATAGGACAGAACAACAATCATACCATAGGCTAGCTTCTAGGGTTTAGCCTCCTTGATCTCGTGGTAGATCCACTCTTGTACTACCCATATCATCAATATCAATCAAGCAGGAGTAGGGTTTTACCTCCATCGAGAGGGCCCGAACCTGGGTAAAACATCGTGTCCCTTGTCTCCTGTTACCCTCCGCCTAGATGCACAGTTCGGGACCCCCTACCCGAGATCCGCCGGTTTTGACACCGACATTGGTGCTTTCATTGAGAGTTCCTCTGTGTCGTCACCGATAGGCTCGATGGCTCCTTCGATCATCAACAACAACGACACAGTCCAGGGTGAGACTTTTCTCCCCAGACAGATCTTCGTATTCGGCGGCTTTGCACTGCGGGCCAATTCGCTTGGCCATCTGGAGCAGATCGAAAGCTATGCCCCTGGCCGTCAGGTCAGATTTGGAAGTCTGAACTTCACGGCTGATATCCGCGGAGACTTGATCTTCGATGGATTCGAGCC